CCTGACTTAACACAGGTTTCCAACTCCTCCTGTTTATTTCCCATGCTGTGCGCATTGGTGTACAGACATTTCAGGGAGCGAGCTGAGCACACCGATTTCACCCTAGGATTATAGGAGGCCTCCCAGTCTTCATTAATTCTGGAGCGCTGCCCCACTGGGGCAAGCCCAGCAACAACCCCATCCCCCTTCGAATCTAGTTTAAAGCTCTCCAAATGAGCCCTGCTAATTCCTGCCCCAGTATCCTTTTGCCTCTGTGAGACAAACCTTTCTGACTTGACATTGTCCAGACTGGTGCCCTATAAAACCAGCCATTATCAAAGAATTCAAAGCCCTGCCTGTAGCACCAGTCTCGTAGCCAATTGTTCATGAACTGAATCTTCCCATTCCTTCCCACATCATCAGTGGAAGATGGAAGGAGTGCGGAGAAGATCACTTGAGCCCCAGACTCTTTCACCATCCTCCCCAAGGCCCTGTAGTCTTTCTTCATCCCCCTCAGACTGCGGGAAGCAGCTTCCTCCCCACCTGTCTGGAAGACCAGCAGCGGGTAGTAGTCTGTCGGGTGCACCAGGCTGGGGAGCGCCCTGGTGATATCCCTGATCCGGGCTCCAGGCAGACTACACACTTCCCTATGATGAGGGTCAACTCTGCATATCGGGCCCTCTGTTCCTCTCAGAAGGGAATCCCCTACTACAATGACCCTTCTTTCTTTCTTAACAGAGGCAGTCCTGAGGTGCAAAGTCGACCCCCTTTTCCTATGTGGCCTTGTGGGCTGGCCTTGCCCCACATTCTCACTTACCTCTCCTTCAAGATCCAGGGCCTCGAACCTATTACGGACGGACACCTGGGGAAGCAGGGCAGGAAGGGGGGAGGGTTTCCCCCGACGTCGAACTGGAACTCGCTTCCAACCCTCGTCGTCTTTTTGGTCCCCTACCTCTGCGCTACAGCTACAGGGCAGGGGCTGTCTCTGGCCATCCCCCTCTGCCTGAGAAGGCAGGGGGTCCTTTCCCTTTTGGGAAGTTAGTTTCAACACAGTATGAAAATTAAAGTCTGAAGTCTCAAAATCATAGTTAATGCTACATAAGGCTTCCTCTTGAAGAATAAATTACTACTCTTTGATAAGTCTAAGAATTTCCCAGGCACAGAAATTGACCCTATTAAAACACACATATAATATTGATCATTCAGCTTTCAAGTATTATCTAAATACATGGTACATTGAAGTAGTTGAGTAGGGAGCCAGCTCTTTATTGAATTGCCCACCAGAGTTCAAATGGATGTTATTTAAAGTGAATCAAATAATGAATTAGTTTAAGTCAAATTACTGCAGATTATTATCAACACCAGATTTTAGATAATGCAACATTCCAATAAATCTTTATTCAAGATCTTAAAAGTTCCTCATCACTCATCAGGCATGCAGAGTTAGGTGCTAATTAAGAAAGGCTCCCCCTCCTTACACAACAAGAGCTGTTGCAATTTTAAAATAATAAAAGTCTCTAAAAATAAAGAATTCTCACTTGATATCTTTAAGCAGCTGTTCTAAACCTGTATCTCAACAGCCCTCAGAAACAGAGATTGGTACTTCATATCACATACTAGAAAACTTCATCCCTTAAAGCAATCTTTCACACATTGTTCATTATATTTATAGATAAGCATAGAAGCAATCAGCTCCCACAGTGGTGCCCTGCTGTCTGTCTAGAACTACTCTTCTATTGTAAAATTTTCAGACAGTGCTTTTGTCCATTAATAAACAAAGCAGTCAAGCTTGCCTCTTTTCAATAGCTTGATCTGAGAATATCCAAGATGCACACAAACCCATATATCTTTATGAACAAATATTTGGAACAGAAACAAACGGTATTGAAGATCCGATTTTCAAGCTACAAATAAGAAATTAACTTTTTGATGGTCTCTCTTTATATCCATAGTACAAAGTACACCACTAATAAACAAACATACACCTTAAATTCCCAGTCAGCTTTATGCCAAAGCTGTCTTTATGAATATAGTATCTCCCTCAAAAGCCACTTTTCTTAACAAAAAGAGCTGTGGTACATCTGCACCTATATTACCAAAATGCACATATATAAATTAAAGGCTACTGCAAATGCATATTCACAAGGATGCATATATTCACAAGGAGGCCTTGTGATAAAGTGTTTAATTTCATATCTGTTTGGCCATCTCCCCTGTGAGGGCATAGCTGTGGATCTCTTCATTTCTCTTGAGCTTGTTCATCCCTGTTCTAAATCCAGTATCTGCTTTAAATTGTTTTGACTCTAACCCACTAGGGATTAAGAAAGCTCTTAGGAAGAGGCTTTTCAAGTTTTAACCATTGGAGATCACACTGTTGCACCAGGAACTTGGTGGCATGTTAAATGGTCACAAGGTCAGATATAGACACATTCCCACTTGAGTCAGAAGCTGGGACTAGCTACAGGAAAATATTAATAGGCAAAGTCTGCGGATTCAAGCAGGGCAGACACTGAATGCAGCTTTCCACTTCTTGCAGATGCATTTAGGAGAGGCACCACCTGCTTCCCCAGATGTTTACATGATCCTTTAGAAGACAACTAATCAACCAGCTAATCAACCCTGATTGTGTTATGAGAATTTTACAATTAATGGCTACTCTACATAGAAAACAATCCCCAGACTTACTGCATTTTATCTATGCACAGTAGTCCCATGAATTTGTAAAAACTACCATTGCATCTATGCTTAAAAGAAATGATAATGATGAGAAGCCAAACTGAAGTAAAACTGTTGAAACTTCCTGAGGGAAGCTATGCTTTACAGAAATTATTGGGCAGCTTAGCCTTCTTTCCAAAGGCGTTTCTTAATGCCAAGAAAGGCAGTGCTCTGCTCACTTTACAGGGACAACAGTTATATTATACACCATTCTAGTCATGCAGACTGAATTCAGTGACATCATTCAGTTTGTTTCTGCTATTTAAGGCAAGCTCATATGTAGTCTGATATAGCCTATGGCCTGATCTAATGAAGTCAAAACTGTGACAATTTGGTAAAACAAGCAGAAATACCTTAAAGAGATACCAAAAAAAAAAACCCACCAAAAACCAAAACACATCAGCTAAACAAACCTTTAATGCATATACTCAGGCTTAGTACAAGTACTACCATTAAAGTGTCACTTAGGCCCCAGTTTGAGACTATTCTGTAGCTCAGGAATCTATACAAATATTTCCACCCTGCATTATGAAGAGCCAGATGACATACGGGTACTTGCAGTTCATACATTTTTGCTAATCATCCAAACAGATCAAACTATTGCTTTCCTTTATGGCAAACAACAATATGAAATAATTAATTGGTATTTGATTTAGGCTATTTTTGTATGTGTTGATACATTGCTTCAACACCCTGGATAATTTTTTTGACCATTCTTTACTATAAGAGGTTGGAACACTGAGACATACTGAACATATACCAATTTGTCCACACAGGTTTTTTGTACTTCATGTTCATATCTAGTTTCTAGATGAAGGGAAGCTTACAATGGTTACCAAAGAAGCATAGCCTTTACTGTCCCAAAAGCGAGCTTTCACAAATACAGGAATACTCAAGTTATATATTTTATTTTCTTTAATCCCCATTTCCTCTTTTTTTTCAGAGCCCTTTCCTGTCCCTCTTCAGGTGCTGAGTTATATTTTTTTCCTTTAATTTCTGCTAAAGAGAAAAATTCAATTGGTTTTGCGTTTGAATCGGACTTTTAAAGCTATCACTGCCAAACTAGGCTCAACACCAGATAAAAGTAGTTTCCCATGAACAGAAGTTCTCTTGAAGCTCTATGTTAAAGAGACACAGATTTAACAGACACAGGCTGCTTGTCTTGCATATCATAGGGCATAAGGCTTTTTCTGCCATGTCTGTTTTATATACAGCCTATTATTTGTTCCCATAGCATACATACAATGTTTAATGACCGAGAGATTAAATTATTGCACTAATTTCACAAATCAAATTTCACTGATTATTTCTGTTAACATATTGCTTTTACTTCTCTAATTTTTATAGCAACCATTTTATGACTGAATCTTTCTATCAACAAAAATTGATCTTCCTGAAAAAAAAAAAGCAGATTTTGTCCTGCACACAAAGTGAAGACTAGGTTCTTAAACTTGACTTGATGATGACCTTCATCTTAGGGTATAAAAACACCTGACTCCACAAAATGGAATTAGCTGTCTCTGACAGACCTCCCCCCCACCTTAATCCAAGCAACTGCCAATAAACAATTTAAGGCACAGCTGTGATAGGATGTGAATGCAAACTATGCATTTACTTCACATTTCTTCACCCATGCTACGGAGACAAGTGATAAAAATCTAGAAACCTAAGTAGAACTTCTGGTCCTACTGGTAACAAACGGAAAAGAAAAGGAAAAAATTCTAGTACCAAGACAGGCATACTGTATATGCAATTGGACTGTCAACATTACAGAAGGAAAGCCAAGCCACTGAAGAATTCTCCACTTTAAAAAGCAAATAAAACAACCAGAAAAACGTATGCCTGTGCGCCAACCACCGACACCAAGAAGCCATATAAGAGATTACAGCACTATTAAGAATTCTCTCATGAATGTTTGCTAGGAGCAACCCTGCAATTAGAGCACTGCTTCAGCAAAACCTCTCCTTACTTTCCCTATACATACCATTTAAATGACCAAGCCTCCTCTCTGCATCACAGCACAGCCACACAGTCCTCAAACTAAAAGAGTGGATGAATGAAACAAAGCCCAGGAACAACAGAGCAGAGACTGCATTTACACAGGGAAGGTCCCACAGGCACACACAACTGCTGCAAGAGCAACTTTACCACAAACACGAAGCAAGGGCCTTTAAAATTGCAGACTCCAAGTCACCTTGAGGCAGGAAGGAAACGTTTCCTTCCCCTTGCTCCTACCACCCACGCCACGCTCAGATCCAACAGCAGATCCAGGCTGCAAAGGAGGGACGTTAACAGAAACAACCTACCCGCACATACACCAGCACTTCCCAAGCTGCTGCTGCTGCTGGAACCCTTTCCCCAAGAGCTTATTGCTGGCTGGAGACTGCCCTATATGGTGCTGAGGGGAAGGTTCTGGGCCTGGGGGAGGGTAGGCTCAGGTGTTGCCCTTGATGATGGTGGGCAGCACTACCATGGTTGCCAGCAAGTGGGGGCCTGTGCCAGGCCTTTGTTCTCTATTGTGGTTGCAAAAGGGAGATGGCCTGGGCGCTTGGGAGGTTGTGGTGGGGAAATGCAGAGCACAGAATTAGGCCATTTGCCTGAAGTGTCTAAACATGAATTGTCTACAGGGACCTGCTGCGCTACCAGGTTCCCAAATGTGCAACCTACTGGGAATGCCCAGGACAGGCTTTGGAAGAAGCTGCTTGCTCTGCCAGTCTTTGGGATGTATCTGTGCACATTACCTAGCTGGGGACGTGTCACCAAAGGGATGGCAGTAGGGCTCTGCCTGGGCAGGCTTGATTGTTCTTCAGAGACTGTGGAAAACAGATACTGGGAGTGTCTCTGCCCTTGACTGACCACAAGGGCTTGGACTTTTTTAAAGGCAATTCCAAAGCCCAATGCCTTCTGTACTAAAATGTTTAAATGCTCTATCACTGCCTGTGCCCCTCCCGCAGCTTTTGCTGGCTTTACCACCCTTCAGCTAGCTGTTATGTACTGGTCAGCTAAGGCAAAGCTAACGAGTAAGCTTTTTCACAACGGGACTTCACTTCAGATAATAAACAGCCAAAGAAGAAATTGCGCAGAAATCTATGGGTATAGTGAGCTGTTAAAAGTTTTCAGAGCACTTTTTGATTCATGCGGACAAAGAATTCCACCTTCTGAAGTCACGCCTATGGGGTTGGGGTGTTTTGTATGTGTGATCAATCTTTTAAGTTGCACCAATTCTTAATTAAGTACGTAAAGAGTCTGCACTGCCTGGCAGCTCTGTCCTGCTGTGACTTTAAAAAGTACCAATTCACAATTTTGTGAGCACTGCAAAGAATTCAGAATGTTTCTGCTTCTAATAGTCAGCATCTGTCTAGAAAACATATCAATCATATGATCACAAACAGCTGTTGCATTAGGCTTTTAATCAGCCATGATTTTCAAAAGAGAAAAAGAATGTTGGAAGGGATGATGGAAAGTTACTGCAGAGAATGCCCTACTTGAGAACTCCAAAATCCAGTTTTTGGGGAGACAGAACTTTACTAAGCACTGTAAAAACTCTTCATGGATAACATATTATATTACGGACAGTATATCTATCAGCTAGAAATAAAATACTCTGAGAGAATGCATGCACAAGGATAGTGTAAATGGTGCTCTGGGCAGTTATTTTGTCATTAAGTATAAAAGATACATATCGCTAGTTCGCACAGATTGAAAAGGATAAAGTTGCTGCCCAACAGTCTATTTTCTCTTTAAGTTTCATAAATCCCATTAATAAAGGGTTATGAAGCCTTATTGGATGTGCAATATATCCCTTTGCTTAGAAAATAATGTCCAAATCTGGCCAATTTCTCCCCCTCTGTGATGTTAGTGTAAATCTGCATTAGCTGTGTTGGGTTCGGGAGACATTGTAGGGTAGCTCCGGACTCATTTTGAACAGAACCTGCCAATTTGAAATAGTAATATGACTACTCCATGGTATCCATCTGCCATAAAACCACAAGACTGAATAAAAGAAAGGCTACTTCTAGAATTGCTTTGTTTTTTAAAAAGTCATGAACTCCTGACATTCAAGTATTATAAATAGCTTCATAAAGTACTAGAAGGGATATATCATAAAACCCCTTTAAAGTGCTTTTGAGTCCAGAGCCAAACTGAGCACCATTTTAAACTTTTCATAATAAATATTGCATATAACAGGTAAAATATGCATCCTTGATACCTGTCATGAGGTTTGACATAAAAAGTTTTACCTTTTCTCCTCAACCCTTACTTAAAACTCAGAGAGAACTTCCAGGTGAAAAAAAAAAAAAAAAAAAAAAGAATATTACAAAATTTAAAAAAAAAAAAATCAAAGATGAAACAAATGAATATTTTATTAATAAGATACCTAAAAGTTAGTGAAGTTGACAAAAATTCTTGAAAGTCATGCTTAACTCCTGCTTCTGTTCTGCAAAGCAGGCCCAATGAAATAAAAGCACAATATTCTCAGGCATTGATCAATCACATTCCGGAAATAAAATCCTATCATCTCTTTGGTTCCATTACAGTAAGAAAGTGATCTATGAATGAAAAATAATGAAGCACTCAGAAAAATAATAGGAGATTGTGTGTGTATTTTCCAGGTGCAATTAGCATTATCCTAAACTGCATCAAAAGAAAAGCAAATACAGGAAGATGGGAATTTCCATATCAAAACGAGATCCTAGATCCACTGTTACAGACAAAAGCTTAACAGCGTAAGCAAAAAGAATTCTGCACTAGGAAAGTATGAGATGATCTTTCTCAAATCCCAGGGTTTTTTCTTAAATCAAATCACTTGATTTGAACTCCATCATGTCTGGAAGTCATTTATGTTTTCCCTGCTAATGGGCATTACTTTGCACATGTATCCCAACTGACCTCCACATTTGCTCACAGTCCCCTGTTCCTCCTGACACTAAAGTCTCCATATTCAGCAAGAAATTAGGAATGCTTTTTTAGCTGTTAGTACTCACTAATAGTCATCTTGGAAATTTGTTACACCTGGGTTGCCAACACTATGAAACACATGTCTCTGACAGCCTCTTAATTTAGGTGTGCTCTTAAGAAAAGCATGTTCCAACAGCTCCACAGTTCCTGCCTGCCCACATTAACGATATGAATCAGCACTCCTGTTAACATGTCTCCCCATTAGTTTTGCTTCTTATAAAAGTGTTTGGGTTTTTCTTCTTTTTTTTTAACACGGAATGTATGCAGCCTTTTTTTTTTTTTTTTTTTTGCACAGAAAGACATTATCTACTTTCTGAGCTACCTAAATCTTGCCCTGGATTTCTCCAGAGGTTGCTGGCTGAGATGTTCACTCTTGGAGTTTTATTCCATTAACTGCATTGAAACAGACATGTAAATTTAATGGATAGCTCTGAAAGTCATAATTACTATTCTGTACTCACTCTGTCAAACTGGTGCAGCGTCTCATACTCATGTAATTTCTAGTACAGCAGCAGCCGCATGGCATGTATAGCTATACAGAATTCTCACCTATGAAACACAGACTTTGTTGTAGGGTCAAGGTATAACTGTACAATGTGAAAGATATGGGCAGGGATTATAGCTTACCAGTGCAACATCTCTTTACTGATCCCATCAGTTATAGATATGTGTATATAGAACGATTCCACTTACGCACATTTACATCCCACTTCCTCTTTGATTCCCATAAAGCAAGGCCGTTTAACACTTTCTTTTCCTAAAATGCTTGTTTGTTCCTCATTACTGGAGGTAACTTCACAGTCTTTCAATGTTGTTTTTTTTTATCTCTCAATAACTTAACACAATTTCAAAGTATTATATTCCCCACTTTCCAATAGCTTGTGTGTCTTTTTCTACAGAGTAGCTTCACAATCACAGAAGAGGAAGGAGCTGAGACTGCATCAGTGTTCCCTGGTGGGTATATGTCTCCCCAGCTTAGTCTTTCCTCGAAGCTGGGATTACAGTGCCTGGCAATAACAGCTCTGATCCAACAGAACCCCATTAGATGGAAGTCTCACATTACCTGGAAAGTCTTAACATCAGATTATGTTCCCAAATTCCTTTCTCCTGGAAGCTAATGCATGTGAGTTTATATGCTTAACTATTACTTAGCTTTTTAGACTTCAGAAATAAAATACAGACATACTGTTTGCAAAACATTTTTTTAAAGGATTCTACTGATGTAAAATCTAATTATTATAGATTAGTGAGTATACAAATCAGTCTTAGAGATCTCCACTTTGATACCTCAATACACATCTATGTGTTTCTATCTTCGTTTCCATTCTTAATATTTGTACATGCATATGAGAAAAGTTACTTTATTACAACTTCACCTTTTTTGATGAATTCATAAAGGCTTTTCAAGCAAGCATACTCAGAATTCTCTTGAAGCTGTACCAAAGAAGAAAAGCGCAGGAGCAAAACTATTTGTTTCGGATACAGCCTTGTGCACATTTCCTAGAGACAACCGATCTAATAAACAGTATGATCTGGCACCCATTTAAATCAGTATAATTTTAGCACTGACAACACTTCTGTATTGCTCCAATAAGTTCACCCAGGTAGTGGGCTCTCAAGGTGCTCTGTCTTTGCAGTCTGCCCAGGCAAAGCTGTCCTGCCTTTCAGCCAGGCTAATTAATTCTAATGAGACTGCTGGAATAACATTGCTTCGCTGCATCTGATTCATAGCTCCAAGATCACTGGTTCAGTATTAGCTGAGGAGCTCCTTAGCTGCCACTCAGATACTGCATTTCAGTGAACATTCATTGTACATAGACTCTCAATAACATTCAAGCTTTTGACAGTTTTGCCCTAGTTATATGGGGGATAAAAAGAAACTGCAAACCAATGTGTCAGTCAGCACTTCCAGTTTCCTTTGAAAGAGTTAATTTCAGGTACAGCCAGGAGGCCATGAAAGATTTGGCACCTATTACCATGTTCTCCCCCTCCAAGGCAAAAAAAGATTGAGTAAGACTCCCCTTTGTTTTTTGCAGAAAAAAACAATGTCTATTTGCTTTTGTAGTATATTCTTCTTATTATTATTTTTTATTTGGGGGTAAAAGCTGGTGAAATTTAGTTCTCATAAAAGTGAGAGATTAATCCTGGCCAGAGCAAGGTCTGGTGGAAGCAGACCCTGTGTAAACTCCCACACATGTCTCTGTCAATGCACTTCAGTCAGGAGAGGCAGTGAAACATGGCTGCTGTCCCGGTACTGGACCTTTTCTGATGGGGAGAGTGCCAGATCTGCTGAAAAGCTCAGTGGTTTTCTTGATTACAAATAGGTTTCAAGCCCACCAGAACGTCACATTTAATTACACTTCCCTGTTGCTTAACTATGACACTGT